TGGAGCCGTTACCAGGTGCACAGCCAGAGGCGCTGTGTCCACGAGCCCGTGTGCCCCCATCGTCCACGGTCTCACCCTGGCCTGCGGTGGGGACAGCCTCCCGTGCCCTGACTTCTTCCCAGCCCGGCCCCTCCCGATTATGAAAAGGACGGCCCTGGCCGTGTTCTCAGCCATCTTTATTTGATAAAGGAGCCTCTTATAGTTAGGTGAAGTGGATCTGGGCCTCAGCATCTTGCAATCAGGACAAACCTGAGCTTCAGACACATCTAACGGGGCCCCCCTGTATTTAAAAGCACTTTCCACTGACATTCTTGGGGGTTCAGTCTGCCTGTCTGAAGCATCAGCTGCCTCCTCCTCCTGGCTGATTATCTCTCTTCCGAGTTCTGTACTTAAACTGTAAGCTGATCTTCAGTGAGAGCTTATCTCTGGGAATGCTTACACCTGGGCGGGTGGCACAGCTCTGAGCGGTGTTGCATTTGCACCCGCCGGCCCCTACCGGTGGTCCATAGCCGATATTTATGTTGGAGTGTTCAGGACCAGGAAGATTGTATAAATCTGAACCCCCAAACTCGTACAAATGCAGGTCATCCACAGTTACAAATTCTTAGGGAGATTTTTCTTTTTGTTTGTTCCCGGAGCTCATGTCAAACTGACAAGTTTTTTTTCCATCTCTCTGGACTATATTTTGGAAACCGAACTTTTACTGATTTACACTCCAGTGGAAGTGAGTCCCACGTGAGGCAGAGGTTTCCATCCAGTTCCCTATCCTGACCAGCTCGAAGCCTCCTTCTCTGTCCTATGTGGACACCAGAACTTCAGCCCGCGGCCACCAAGACCAGCGACTGCCCTCTGTGGAGCCCAGAGCCGCACAGCCTGTTCCCGGCTCACATCGCCACTGCGACTTCGATTCCCTCTGCATTTCTGGAGCAAGGGGTTCCTTACTTGCTTGCTAGTTCAGCTATGCATGTAAAATAGCATTTGCTCCATTTTACCCTCCATTCCTAGGGGTTGGGTAGCTCGGAAACTTCCAGATGACCTGGTCCACCCCAGTGCTAGAAATCCAGGTCTGCCTCTGCACTTTACAAAACAGCCTGGAGCCCAGAGAGGGAAAGCGAGCTGCCAGAGGCCACACAGCACGTTTGAGACCTACCTAGGCCTTGGCCCCAGGCCTCTGGATCACTTTCTCTCTCCTTCAGGCGATAAAGATGTGCTTCAGCTATGAACTCAAGCAACCTTTGGCACACTCTCGCCCCGCACCCCACAGAGATGAGGCTGTCCAGGGAAGCCGAAGAGAAAAAGGGAGGGCAGGGTTTCTGTTCCAAGTGATTTGGAGGAGGGGCCAGAGGCGGGGGCAGTGGAGAGAGGGGCAGACAGCCTATGGGGGCTGCACACTCACGCTTCCTCGAGCTCGGCTGCAGCTCCTCCACGCGGTACACGGAGAGCCGGCCGACACCTCCGCACGCCGAGCCCTTCTCCCCCTTGCACTCGTGCTTACACTCCTCCGGGCCGACGCTCAGCTCCGGGAGCCGGTTCCCGCAGTAGCACTCTGTCCCGGCCTCCAAGCCGGCATAGACGTAGGACCTGCGGGGAAAGTGGGCCTGGGATAAAGCCGCCCTTGGCCCAGAGCCAGGCCTGGCGTCCTAACAGCCGGCTCTGGGGCGAGGATGAGGGCCGGGCTTGAAGCTGTGGTTAGGTCTGGATGAGAAGGCAGGGGCCACAGCCATCAGCGTGTGGCTGGCCTCAGGGGTCATCTGCCTGGGTTTAGGGAACAGTCTCTCCTTTGTGATAAGCGGACTGAGTCAGCCCCACTGGTTCCTCTCCTCAGCCCTGAGCTTTGTCCCCTACGGTGCAGGTCATGTGACAGGTCATGATGGGTCTACAGCAGTGGTGAGCTGGTAGCTGGCTCTCGGGATGGGAGGGAAGAGGCCTAACTGGTGGCATTTGCCAATTTCTGTAGGTGATTTCAAGCTAGCGAGGGTTCAGCAATGGGCTTAGAGCATTTCTGAAATTTAACTGTCTGCTCTCGTGAGCCATGAGCTGGCTCCAGCTCACCACTGGTCCAAAGGGCCCTCCACATGTTACAAGCAGGCCCCACCACAAGCCTCCCTGCCCTGGAGACCACTCTTACCCACCTCCACCCAGCTGCAATGCTGTCGGTAAGGAGAGAGTGAGAACGGAACCAATAGGGTACCCATGGGATTTTAACTATGAAAAGGGGTCAACATTTTCAAACTCCCTCCTCAGCGGACCTAGGCATAAAAACCCAAATTGAAAACCCAAACACCAGCTCCTAACCCTTGTTTGGCCCCTGCTGGCTGTGTGATGCTGAATATCCCTTACTACCTCTGAGCCCCAGTTTCCTGAACTGTTAGGAGAACAGAATGAGATAGTGTCCATCTCAGTTTTAGCGCCCTTGACAGGGGCCCTGTCCTTTCCTTCTCTGGCCTCAGTTTCTCCACCTATAAAATGGGCATGATTAGTTGTTACTTAGCAGAAGGTGGTGAGGATTTATGACACAACAAATATGAAAGAATCGGATGGGACTGAAATAAACTAAGAGTACCATCTGCTGATTCTGTTGTACGCTCACAAACACACACGCACACGCACACGCACACACATGCATGCAGAGTGGTCTGTGACCACCTTGATGGTAGAGACCACTCCCTGGCATATGACTAGTGTCTGGTAACGACTGGGTGGGTTGGCAGCAGCAGAAAGAGTAAATCTTGTTTGAAACACAGTAGCTGTTCCTACAGAGCAGGAAGGGTCCTCAGAGAAATCTGGGGCAAAGCCCTTGATTCTATTTTAAACATATAAGTAAACTGAGGCCAAGGAAAGGCAGACGGCTCAGAGCTAAGTCACATGGCGAGTCCCTGGCTCAGCAGCATTAGAACTTGGTCCGTGGACACCGAGCCCAGGGTTCTATGCACAACCCCAGCCACCTCATCAATAAACTTTCTCTCTTCTGGACAGCTGGGCCCTGATCAATCAAGCTCTAATTAGTTCCACCCTGGATGCCACTGGCAGCCGAAGTATCCCCTCCCTCTGAGGAATGTCTCTTGACCTTATTTCCAGTGGCATCCGGGGTCCGGGGCCCCACACTTACCGCTCAGCGCAGGCGTCCTGGCAGTGGGAGACGGTCATCTTTCTCAAGTCAAAAAACACAGTGCCCTTCAGTGTTCTCTCCTGGCCGTCGTCACGGAAGCAGCCAACATAGGTGCCTGCAGGCAGAGAAGCACAGCAGAGACTCGGAGGCCCTGAGGAGGGAGGGGTCCTGATGACAGCCCACCCTGAGCGAATGCCAAGGTCACCCCCAGCCCTTCTGGGCAAGGGTGCCTCTCAGAGAAGCCGGGGCATGAGGCTGTGGTCCAACGTCCCCGGCAGTGCTTCTGGATACTTCAACCCTGTTCCCTTCTGCCCCTTTTCTTGGTTAATGGCCCACTGGCCCCCAAGACACCCTGCCAGGACGCTGGTGTCAGTCTGAATACCACCTTCTTCCATCACAACTCAGCAAGTCAAGTACCTCCCCTGGACCACCCCCATCCCTGCCCTTCCTGGGCTGGGAGAGACCTCCCAGCTCCACAAATGTCCCGAGTGGCAGGCTCTGTCACCTCCCTGTCATCCAGAAGAAGGAAATTTATTGTGGAAACTCTGACTGTAGAGAATATAAACCAGATCCTGCAGATGGAGCTATTTCAAGAAAAAAAAAATGCCGTCCCAGGTGAGAGCAAGCCCCCATCCCCGGAGGGGTGTAAGAAGCCTTGAGCATGTCAGAGAGCTGTCCTCTGTGGGACTCAGCAGGGCCGCGGACTGCGGGGCCTGCCAGTCCAGGCATCCCTGGCACATCCCTGGAGGGAGAACATGGCTCCACAAAGAGGTGGCAGTGCTGACCCAGACATGCACATGCCAGGGAGTCTGCAACAGCCCTGCCCTGCCACCCTGAGAGGGCGGTATCTCTTCCCTCCCAGGCAATGAACCTCTTAGAGTCCATCAGCACACAGGTGGCCACACCCCATGTCCACGCAGAGGCACATGCTCCACCCTCCACGCAGGGCTTCTAGACCCCCAGGCCATGGAAGCTTCTCTCTCCTTTTCTGTAAAGTCTCAGGACTTCAGAGACCAGAATGGATCGCTGCAGGAAGATTTTACCCAGGTCAGCGAGAATAAATTGCTCTCCTTAGCCTGCCTGCTTAGTAAAAGAAAACGAATATTTCAGAAATTCCTCGTGTGTTGCTCAGCGACAAAGAAATTCTATTACAGCTTTCAACTAAACATCCAAAACACAAGCTCGGGGGTGTTAAACATTTATCACTGCTGGTGAGGAATTAACCTAAAGGTTGCAAAGATGCCCTGGCTCAAGACCCCTGAAGGAGGAGAACGGTAGGTACATGTTTCTGGGGGAGCAGGGAACAACTTTTGGGCTGACTTGGGTTCAAGTCCAGGCTCCACCCTTATCTGGCTGGGTGGCCGTGCATATGCAGCTTCCCCTCAGTGAGCCTCAGCTTACCCATCAGTGAACTGGGGCTACAGGCCCATGGAATTCATGGGGCGCTGATAAAAATTCCACAGCACCTGGGAAGTGCAAGGCATGGCATGTGGTACGGTACCCGCTGTCGTGGTTGTGTTTATTGTTAATGTATCATTATTAATATAAACCTTTAAAAATTACTATACTTCCCTGGAACTCAAGTTCTTCATCATTAAAATGGTGACAGCACCACGTACGTACTAGGCTGTTGGAAATTAAATGAGATAACAGATGTACATCCACACAGAACAATGCTTGACCATTAACAGACGTTCGAGTAAATAACAGCTATTATTATTCTGATCCTTCACTCTAACCTGGGACCTGGTATGATGATGGATCAGTGAGTAGCGGCTGAATAATTACCACATTCATAAAAGAGAGAAAGAAGTGGTTCCAAGCAGTCAGGCTCGGGTCCTTCAGAGAACAGGGAGGGGCGAACCCGTCAGCAGCTGCCCGCGTCGGAACTGTCCTGCCCTCACCCGGCTATCCCGCTCAGTGTGTAGCAGGGGCCTGAGACGCAGATGAGGAGGAGGTGAACTTTCTTCCGGAAAAGTAACGAATGGCTTTTCTAACTCCCTGACAGAGGCAAGAATGTGCGGAAAGAAAAGGGCGTCCGAGGGATACGCTGGGACACATTCCGAGGCGGATTTATTACTTTCGGCTGAAATGGAGGCAATGCATTATTGCCTGTGACTCCACATCTGTTCATTTGCACATCAAAATGGACATGCTGCGAGGCTATTAATGATGGCTTTGGAGATATTGGAATGTCTTTGGAAATTACTATCAATAAAAAACAAACCGGCCATGGAGAAGTTACTATTTTTCCCCTAGTAAACGTACTGACATTTTATTCCATTATGGATGTTGTCCAAGGTATAATGAAATGCTCAGTGATTGATGGAGCCTCCTGCAGCTTCCTAGGCCTGCAGAATCCCTTGTCAGGAGGATGGCAGGCTGCCCGCGCCTCAAAGAGACGCCTTCTTTGTCTGCAGCCTCAGCAGCTGTCCCGAGGGCTGGACTGAGGGCTACGCTCCACCAATGAGGCCTGCCTGGTTGTGCAGGGCCCCCAGAGCGGCAGGGGGCTCCCAGAGGGTTTTCAGGCCAGTGCCCTGCCTCTTCCCTCTTTCTCTGAAGACTTCCAGCCATGTGACACCACCGCCTCACCCAGAGCACAAATTCCTCCTGAAATCTTGGGGGATATTAAAATCTTTAATAACTGATGGAGTTACTGACCATTCAACACTAGAGTTCCTGCTGTACCAGGTATTAACTCTTCACTTGCTGTTGGGCCATGGGAAGGTTTTAGGGGTCACTGGGGAGGGCAGCAGAGTGCACAGGGCACCCCAGACACTTAGGATAGTCACCATTCCAATATTTTAAGAATTGATAAGGCCATACTGGTGTATAGCGGCTGACCTAACCACAGTCCTTCTGCCTTCACTGGAGCCCCATTCTGTCACTTTTTTTAAGTCACTGAAGATGACTTAAAGGGGGTACCCACTGGTTCTCCTGGACACATGCACGCAACACCCAGGGCTATAACTAGGTCACCCTGAGCCCTCCCCTCTGCTGGCCACACACGTTGAAGTCGGGTTATAAAGAACTAGTCCACTTCAATCTAATAAGCCCAAAGCCCTTTGCACCTGCCTCCCTCATGCCCTAGTCGTGCTATGCAGTAAACATGTGGGTGCATGTCTGACTCTGTCACCAGATCCAGATCCTGAAGTGCACTATGAATAGCATACATGGAGACCCAGACACGAATCCTCAATAAGTGCAGATTGAGAGCAATAAAGAGAGGGATTGCAGCTAATTTGCCCAAGGTCACAGAGCCCAGAACTGGCAATACCAAGAGAGGCGCTCAGCTCTGCTTTCAAAACTTGTGCTCTTTCTATGGCTTCGTCTCAAGAAATCCATGTTGACCTTGTCAGTCATCGACACTTCAGTCTAAATGAGTTATACTGGTGCCACCTGCATAGGGACCCAGTCTCTGGATGAGTTGAGGAGAGTTTATAGAAATCATACCTGCATAAAATGAGCAGCAGAATCAGTTCCTCGTTTCTCCCATGTCAGCCTTCTGAAGAACCCCATGGTGAGGGCTTTGACCCAGATGATTTTAGAAGAAACTTTCTCCCATGCAGATGGCAATGCAGTCTTCCAGTCTACATTTTACTGAGCCACTAGGGTCATCCTCCTAAGGTGAGGGAAGCCTGGGCTTCTTTCTCTTCCCTGGAACCTTCTCATTATCCTTAGAATAAAGCCAGATTCCTAGGACTGACCCTCATAGCCCTCCCTGACTCAGGTGCCAGACCTGAACTCAAAGCCCACACTCCAATCGCCTCACATCTTTCTGTATCCTGCCATGGAGGCTTCATTCTCCAACCACACATTTTATAGGTAAGAGAGCAATGCCCCCTGTGACTTAGGGTGCAGGACCAAATGGGGCAGTGACAGAGATGCTGAGATGCTGACACTTTCTGGGTGCTCATCACATGCAGGCTCCGTTCCTGGGCGCACACAGAGCCTGTATGACTCAGCGCACAGAGCCCCGACCTGAAGCCAGGCTGTTCCCACGCTAGGATCTCAGCATTGTGACTGTGGCGGGTCCACCTGTGTCCCCCAGGCTGCACCTTGAGATGCATGCCCTACCCTTGTTCTGTGCCCCCACCTGCTCTGCTCCATCACACACCCTTTATTGGCTGTCTTCCCGCTGGACCTTGAGATGCATGCCCCACCCTTGTTCTGAGCCCCACCTGCTCCGCTCCATCACACACCCTTTATTGGCTGTCTTCCCTTCCCTGGCTCACTTCTCACTCCCTAACAGTGTTCCCAGGACCACAGCCCTACTCTACCACGTGCATTGGAATCCTGGTTTCAGGGTTTGCTTCTTGGAACCCAAACTAAGAGAATGACCTTGGGAACTGATTTAACTTCTTTGTGCCTCAGTTTCTTCATCTATAACACTGGAATATAACATGGAACCCATACACAACTCATTTACAGGAACATAGTAAATGACATACGAGTTAGCTGTTTTTATTAAGTGATAACAGCTGCCAGTTACTGAGTGCCGAATAAGGTACTACAGCGGGGCCTTGACTTAGGAGTTTAATTCCTTCCGAGACCGAGCTCGTTAAGGAGCTCGTTAACTCAAATTACTCTGTCAACTCAATGCAAAAAATCGACTGAGGGACAGCTGGTATCTCAAAAAACTCGTTAGTCGGGACACTCGTAAGTCAAGGCCCCACTGTAGGTCCTCCAGCCCAGGCGTACTCGGCTTAGGTGTATAATGTACATCAGAATCACCTGGGAGGGTGGCTGCATGGACTGCGGCCCCTGATCCCCAAAGCTCAGGATCCCCCAAGTCTGGGAGAACCCGAGAATCTGCACTTGGAACAGGCTCCCCAGTGATGCTGAAGCTGCTGCCCTGGGACCCCACCTTGCGAGCCACTGCTCTACACGATCACAGTTAATCCCCACAACAACCCTGGGTAGGCATCTCTATCTCCATCTCAGAGGGACCCAGAGAAGGTAAGCGCCACGTTCAAGGCTGCCCAACAAGTTTGTGGCTAAGCCAAGGATTCAAGACAAGGATGGCCTGAACCCGAAGCCTGAGCTCAAGGTGACCTGCTCACATATCCTGCCTGAGCCACGGGGAAGCCCAGCTGGTGAGGGAGCAAAACTCCAAGGGGCTTCCCATCACAGGCCCTCCCCGCGCCGTGCGAGCAGGAGAGGAGGGACAACAGGTGAAGGCCGGGGGTCTGCAGTGCCTACTCCTCAGGCCGCCCCAGGGGCCAGAGAAAGGGGCCTCTGATCTGGTTACCCTGAGCAGGCTCCTGAAAGCAGCTCCCAAATATGCCAGAGGAACCAGGGCTGAGCACCTACCTCGGCTGCTGGCGGCTGGCCTGGGGGCCACGGGGCCCAGGGCGGGCAGCGCCTGGGGGTCAGCCATGAAGTGGGGGAG